TTTGTGACGTCTCAGAGCGCTTCACAGGATACACTGCAAAGTGAATTGACTGTATATTTTGTGGGCAAAATATGTTAGGGCAATTGATGTGAAAATGCTGATAATCACAGCATTTGAATGATGAAGTATTTCCTTCTCTGTGGTTTGGAACAGAATCAAGACTTGAAAATGGGCATTGCACAGAAATGCTATCAGCTACTTCACAGAATAACTCTACTCTCTGTTGGGTCCCTGGGAATGAATGGTGCTTTGTGATAACCTAATCCATCTCATCGCTCGCTCCCACGATCTTGCTGCCCTTATCTGAGTGTCCATCACTGGAGCAGGGTAAAGGCGGAACTGGTTGATCTATGCATTTAGTGCATTCATTGTGTGACTGTTCGCCTGAAGTGACTAATGCCAATCATGTAGAGACAGCACAGTGTTGGTGGTTAGAATTACAAGAGTTTTACAGTAGATTTGGTCCGTCCCAGCACTCCGAAACACTACTCCATGTCAAGGGCAGTATTGAGTAATAATAATAATAATCCTTGCATTTGATATAGCGCCTTATCGAGACATCTCAAAGCACTTCACAGAATATACTGTAAAGTAAGTTGACTATATTTTGTGGGCAAAATGCAAGTTTGCAAGTTGTTACTGTGACTGTCTAGTGCAGGTTGTCTCAAAGAGCTATTCCTTTTAATTCCACGTTCCTTTTCTTTCCCACTTTCCTCCTCAATTATTTGCTGCAAATCCACATGGAGACAAATTGAATGATTTTGTGCTTAATAATGGATTGAAGCAAATTAACAGCCGGAGTCCTCAGCTGGTCAGGCAGCATCTATGGAGAAAGGAAAGCGAGTCAACGTTTCGGGTCCATGACCCTTCGTCAGAACTGGGGCACTTTGGGAGGGAGAGGCTTTTAAGGGCTAACAGAGAAGGGGATGGTGGGGAAAGTAGGGCAAGGAAGACAAAGGAGAAAATGGGGTAGAGGACAGGGGGTGATGAGGGAGGGGAATGATGATACTTCATCATTCAAATGCTGTGATTATCAGCATTTTCACATCAATTGCCCTAACGTATTTTGCCCACCTCTTCAACCCGTCATCTCCTTGTCTTCTACCCCATTTCCCCCTTTGTCTTCCTTGCCCGGTCTCCCCCACCTCTCTGTGAGCCCTTAAAAGCCTCTTCCCTCCCAACCATACCCCAGTTCTCACGAAGGGCCGTGGTCCCAAAACCTTTGGCTCACTTTCTCTTCCTCCACCGATGCTGCCTGACCTGCCGAGTGTTCCCAGCGACTTCTCTTTTTGTTTCAGATTTCCAGTATCCGCAGCATTTTGCACCAACCAGAATCTTACACTTTCCTTAAGTGTCGCTACTGACACCGGGTGGAGCTTTATGATCACTGCAGCCGATGCCCGGCAGCAAATACATTTCCCTCAAGTGTTCAGTGATGGGGTGGAGAGGGAGAAAGCTGGATGAGGTTGACGGTAGCCGCGGATGAAGAGGCAGTTTCTAATGGAGGGGTTGAGAGCAGGGAGGGAGGGATTTTGGGGGAGTGTTCGATGGTACAGTCCACCATTGGTGGCTGCGCTTTCAGCCACTACGCCCCCCCGAAACTCTGGAACACTCTTCCTCTCTGCCCCACCTCACCCCTTCCTTCGCCTTCTTCAGGTCACACCTGGACAGTCCTATTCGACCATACCTACGACCACCTCACCCCCGGCTCAGCGTCAGACGTTCTGGGACTCTACCCTGCGAGAGGGGCGTTGTGTAAATGCAAATTGTTGTTAATGTCAGGGTAGGGAACCCAAGGTTTGAAAAGCAAAGGGCACATTTAACAAGAGTACAAATCTCACTCACCAACCCACCCTATGAAACAGTCACTACAGTTTACAGTGCATCCGGTGAGGCGCTTTGAGACGTCCTCCTGACGTGAAAGACGCTGTATCAAGCGCAGATTATTATTTTAATAGTAATTCAGTCACGAGCGCGCACACACGCAGATACACACACACACACAGAGCTGGGTGTAAACAAAGGGTTCTTTTTATTGCTAGATGGGATTATGGCTGAGGCAGCTCATTTACTGACATGGAACTTAATTACCCTCGTCATAATCCATCATAAAAACAAAATGATTTCGATGTGCTAAAAATCTCCTTTACAGTTAAGAAACAGCTCATCCGAGGAGTCACAAAAATCAAACAAAAATATCGAGAATACCATTTTGTTTTCCCCCCCCACCCCTTAAAACTTTACAACGTACAAACTAGAAGAAATTATGTTATTGGCAACAAGAGGAAAGTTCAGAACTATTTACATCCTTTACATACGAGACCGTGTGTAGTCCACCTCTCCCACCCACTCCCCACAAAAAATGGTAGGCAGTGGAGGTGAAGAAGACATTTGGGGCCCCAAGTCTTATTACGTAGGAGAAGGAGGAGGTACCCAGAGGGTTTATTGCATTCAGTGAGGGGAAGGGACATTGACCTGAGGAGGTAAGCTCCACATGCTGAAGAAAACCACAACACACCACCAGGATCAGGGAGTATGGTGGGTGGATGGGAGGAGGGAGGAATAACAAGGGAATAATGGCTGAGTCTGGAATGATTATGATCTGATCATATCTATATAAATTGTTATCAACCCTGTCTGTTTCTGCTTTCCCCCCATGCCCACCTGCCCGCAACCACGCTCAAACTTCTTCCTCAGATTCAGCCTGGCCAACTTTTTGTTTGGACTCAAATCCCGAAGGAAAGAGAATACATCGGCCGAAGGGGAAAAAGGACAATGAACGTGCCAGAGACTGACTGGTCTGTGAGGAATGTTCCCCATACTGGTCCATTACATTCACAGTGCATTAAAGAAAGTGCTCTCCAAACACACACACAGACAGATAGACAGTCAGACACAGTGACAGACAGACAGACACAAACACTCCAGCACAACTGTTGGAAGACGGAAAGAAGCCAGCCACAAAAGCTTTGCTCAAAGTGCAAATTGGGGTGAAACTGCCACCCTCCCCCACCCAAATAAAGCCCAAGTCAGGGCCTCCCCCCACCCAATCCCTCTCCAGACACCCCCACAATCACACTTCCCTTTATTCACTGCTATTCTGGGAGGGGGGGGGGGGGTGGGGGGAGTTGGAGGAAAGAAAAACATTTTATTTTTGCCCCTCCCTACAATCCACCTGCCAAGTTTCAACCAAGACCCTTTGCCTCTCACCACCCCCACCAAAGATTGCGTTGCGTAGACTTTGTAACAGTTTAAAGCCATGTCTCCCCCCTCCACAACACACACATGCACACAGAGCTCCTCAGATCCCATTAGACAGGTAATGTTTATTGATTACCTGGGAGAAGCAATCAGGGCTACACAGTGAGCCAGAGATTTCCACTAGAACTATAACCCTCCCCAGGTAGGAAGCTACAGAGTACAGGACAATGATACAACACTTAGTTTGGCTCGGAGTGGGTTAAATATTGGAGCTGTACAGAGAACGAGAGGGGCAGAAAGAAGGGAACAGAGGCTGGAGGAATGTCTTTCATATAGGATTATATACATATAGGATTGCCTCGGTGAGACGCCAGTCTGTGCAGCCAGAGAGAGATATAGACAGACATAGAAAGGACACAGAGACATACAGACCCATACACAACTAACACAGAGAGAGAGAGAGAGCACAGATAATGGATTCTCTACTTGAATCCCACAGATCAGAAAAATCATTAACTTTTCCTACAAAAGGACTCGCACGGAAAAGGGCTGAAGATGAACTGACATCACTTCTCTCGGACACAGTAGGAAGCCCTGAAACAAGACACCAACAGGGCAAGTAAAACGTTTACAGTGGAAGTCTCACTTTTCAGGTCACCCCACTAACTGTGGTCAACTTGGGAACATGGTCAGTTTATTATTGTTATTATTTTTTTGCAGTCATTTGCTTTTCAACATTATATTATTATTGCATTTTACAGTAACACAAAAACTCACTGGTGAGGTCAGACCACTGATGTGATCAAAATGCCTGTTGGTTTGCTGAGCTGATTGGTTAGTTTTCACTGTGGTTTTTCAGAACTCTTTCTCTCTCTCCGAACCCACAGCAATTTTACCCACTAATTGTGCCCTCACCGTGTGCACTACAGCACCATGACCTTCCCACCGCTATCCCCGAGTTCGGCCTTGCGATCGATCATCGCAAGCCATTTTGTAACATTAAGAGGAAAATCCGGGGCACTTTGGGTACAAATTTGAAAACTCCGCCACTCAAACACTGTTAAATATGTCATCCGGAAGGTAGGTCCCTTTCCCACACTGAGGGGGAGGGGGAAAAATCTCAAGACAGAATGCATTCCTTGGGATAATTATCACAAGAAATGTGTGGTCAGACAGCAGATTTCACCACTGAAAAATCATTCTGACAGGAATCCTTTCTGGGATTCCGGGAATGCAAAGGGACACTAACATACCTTAGGCTTTTCATCTCTCCCGGACTCTCACCCCCACCCCCAAAATACAGTATCAATGTCAAAAATAGAAATTCCAGCAAGGAATATGATTGGGACGTGGGTGGGGGTGAAAGAAAAAAAAATTAATAGAGGTTTCCTTCCCCTCGTACATTTCTTGACGTTCAAGACAACATCCCTGTGTGTGTGTGAGAGAGAATAAAGGACCCCTTCCCCAGATAATTACAACAGGTAGTGTGTACCTTTCCACACCCAGGTACGGGAGTGGAACTAAACACAAATCCCTTTCCTTTCACCGTGACTGAGAGCAGAGCCGGTGGTTTAAGCGGACATTCCGGATCCGAATCCGGGTCCGTGCAGGTGCAACCCGAGTTTACAACAAAAAGAAACACAAAGTTCTCCAGTGACGTTGGGTGCGGATTTCCCAAATTTCAAGTCCCTCCTGCACTCTCAAAGCCCCCTCCCTCTGCCATTAACTGTCAGATGGTCTCTTTTGTTAGACATAGCTCAGTGACTCTCTCCACCTTCTCCCTCCCTCGTGTTTGTTACGAGTATGTGTGTGTGTACGCGAGTCAGAGAGAGAGAAAGAGAAACAGAGAGATCGGCTCTTGATGGTCGCACTGCTCAGAAGAATATGACCTCGGAGTTGGGGTCGTCATGTGCGCTAGTCGGAGGCTGTGTCTGTGTGGAGCCCGTGCCCTGAGGCAGCATGGTTGGTCCTGGCTGCTGAGGCTCCTGCAGGCTGTCCGAAGGGAGAGGGGATTCTGCAAGAGAAAATGGATAGTTTGGTTAGTGCCCACCCTGTCATAGCAACATACACACACACACGCACGCACAAACAACAGGAGGCTATTTGCCCACTGACCTGTGCGGTGGTTGCTGCCACACTGGAATGCTCCACTCTAATTCCAATTTCCTTTGATATCTTGATACACATTTGGCTTCCTTCGATTGTAGTATTCTATCTCTCAGTAAAAAAATATCTTCTTCTTCCCCCCTCTCTTCCCCTCAAATATTTGTGTCTGGCAATTTATGTCTTGTTACTGCTCCCTCATTCCCTCCCTCACTCTGCCACTCACTCACTCTTTCTCGTTACCTTGATGGACGGGGAGGCTTTGGCTGCTGGGGATGAGCGGGCTGGATGACCTCCTGGCTCTCAGACCTCCCTCGTCCTTAGTGAACAGTTTGGAGGAGTGGCTGGTCCTCGCCTCACCCGAGCCTGCCCGGTACACACCCGTTTCTTTCATTCGGAAACTCTCTTCAAGAATGGAACAGAAAGAGAGAGACACAATGAGTGAGAGAGTCGAGTGAGTGGATTGAGAAAGAAGAGAGCAAGACAGAGAGAAAGAAGAAGAAAAAAAAGGCAGAGAAAATGTACACGAGAGATGAAGACCAAGCGAGACTGTACGTATGCGCTTTGTGTGTGTGTGTGTGTGTGCGCGAGTGGGTGACTGAGTGAATGTGTGAGTGGGTGAGAGAGTGAGTGGGTAGATGAGAGAATGAATGAGTGGGTGGGTGAGAGTGGGTGAGTGTGTGACAGTGACAGTGGCTGGGGCACCTGAGGCGGGCATGATGGAGACGGTGGGCAGCGTGGAGGTCGGCCGCTCCTTGCCCCGGCCGCTCTTGTCCTTGCCGCTCTTCATGGTGGCCAGCTTGGTGGGGATCTGTTGCTGGACGCCGCTCTGCTTGAGGATCTGGTTTGTGGTGCTGATCAGGTGGATGGGAACCTCTGTCTTCAGGGCCAGGGAGGAGCGGCCCTCTCCGGTGCGCACAAACTGGGAGCACGTGCTGTTCTCCCGCCGCAGCTGGGAGTCGGGGGGGTATTCGGGGGTCTCGAACCCAGCGCCGGGCAGACCCTGGTATTTCAGGCCGGGCTGGGCCGGGGGCTCACTGACCACTGGCATCGATGCCTCCATCCGGTCACTGTCCAGACTCTGGGAGTGAGTGAGGCCCGGTAGCTGAGGATCAACGAGAGAGAGAGAAAAAAGGTCAGAACAAGTGGAGAGGGCGGGAGGAGTGGAAGACAGGAGCGTACAGGAGACACAGAGAGAGAGAGGGGGAGGAGGAGAGAAGAGAGGTAATAATAATAATAATCCTTGCATTCGATATAGCGCTTTTCACGTCGGGAGGACGTCCCAAAGCGCTTCACAGAACACACTGTAAAGTGAATTGACTGTATATTTGTGGGCGAACGCGGCAGCCAATTGCGCACAGCAATGTCCCACAAACAGTCGTGGATTGAAAATGACCAATTTATTATTGTTTGTGGTTTTGGAGAGATTATTATTAGGCTCTGTGTGGAGTAAGGAACTTGCCCAAGGTTTCGCCCTCTGCCTGGGATTGAACTCAGGTCCCTCACTTGCAAAGCGAGTGCTATAACCACTGAACTGCAGGACTCCTGTACAAGAGGTAATGCTACAGGAGGTAATGAGAGAGAGAAAGAGAAATTGTAGCTGTGCTAAAGAGAACACAGACTGCAATAACCGGGACAGTGCGGGTCAATGTCGGGCCTCACGAGGAGGCATCCAGGCCCTAGATCTAATGCTTAGATTCGACCACTCTGCTCCAACAGAACAGCGGAACAGGTTTGAGGGGCTGAATGACCTACTCCTGTTCCTACGTGCCCACACCCGCCCGCCTCCACTCACCTGGCCAGGGTCGGAGGTCGACCCCAGGGAGCTCTGCTTCAGAAGTTTACGCTGCAGCTGGTCCAGCCTCTCCCGCTCCCTGTCCACGGCGCGCTGCGATTCCAGCAGCCTCTCCAGGTCCTGCTGGTAATCCATCCGCTGCCTATCCAGCTCCTGCCTGTCCTGCCCCAGCCGCTCCTTCTGCTGCTGGATGCTCTCCTCGCGTTCCTGCAGTCGGGCTTCCTGCGCGGAGAAGTCTCGGAGCTGCCTCTCGCGATCCCGCTCCCACCTGGCCTGCTCTTGCCGCACCTGGCTCTGGAGCTTGTGGATGCCGGCCAGCTCCTCCCGCTGCTTCTCGAAGCTCCTCTGCTTCTCCTGCTCCAGCAGCAGGTTCCCGCGGGAGCTCTGTAGGCGGTACTGCTTCTCCCGCTCCGTGTGAGCGCTCCGCTGCACCTCAATGTAGCTGTCCTGCTGGGCGACCAGCGTCTGGGGGAAGCGAGCGGAAACTGACTGCAACGTCCGGGGGAAATCACACCTCTTCCCGTTTACCCCTTCCACCACACCAATCCCCTCCCCATCCTATCACGTTTGGCCCACAAAATAGTGTCACTACACTCTACAGTGTATCCTGTGAAGCGCTTTGAGACGTCTCGAAGGCGTGATAAAGCGCTGTGTCAAATGCTGGATTATTATTATTATCATTCGGCAACGAGTGCAGTTGGGGGTATTTAATGAAAGAAGCGTTCTGGCACGCTACCCTACTCGAGGGGTGCTATATAAGCTTTTTTTCTTGGGGGGGTTGTGGTGGGGGGCAGTGTGGTATGACAGGCAGAAACCTGTCACCATGCTTAAGATTTTAATGTTAATCCAAGTTGTTGTTGATAGGGACATCCCACAACCCCCACTCCTCTCCAATTCTGTCCCGATTCCCACCCCCCCCACAACCCAGGCCTGCCCCCCTCCCACCCAGTTCGAGAGGCAGACTGCAGCTGGGCTTGGGGCTGGAGCGCGGTTACTGAGCTGCGGACAGACAGGAAACGGCAACAACAACTTGCATTGATATAAGTGCCATTCACACCGGCCAGTGCCCAGCAACGTGCTTACCCAGAGGCTGTACAGTAGGTGGGTCAGGGTCTGAACACTCTGTACCAGCTGTGGACACAAAAGCAGGAACATCAGACATGTTATTAAATAAAAGGGGTTGAGAATACAACACTGGCCAAACAGTCACTCCGCTAGTCCGCGACTGTGGGCAGAGATTTGCTTTCAGCCCGAGCGCAGAGACCAGACAAATCGTCTCTGTACTGGATAAAGTCTCATGGGAATCCTTTAACGTCCACCTGAACAGGCACAGACGGACTGGACTCTTCAGTTGAACGGCTCATCCAAAGCACATTCTTCTGAGAATGCAACAGGGTACTTCCCCCAACATCGGGCTCCAGCCTCAGTCTAGACAACTAGGTCAAAGTGTCTGGCCTTGAACCCACAACCGTCTGGCCCAAATGCGAGAGTGCTACCAGCCGAGATGAACGACCAGTACTTTTGCTGCGGTTTTCGGGGCAAATTTGGAACCACAAGGAACACTGAGCAAATTCAAGAGAGAAACGCTCTATCTAACTTAACCGAAGGATCTCGCTTATATCCACTTTACAGAAAAGCACATCTGTGTTGTATTCCAGGACTTTGTGCAACTTTTCAGAGTAAAACAGTGAACGGGGGGGGGGGGGAGGGTTTGAAAAAAAAAATCATTCGACACGAACGTTACATACCTCGGTGTCTGGCAGTAAACTGCTGCTGTAACCCCAGCTCAGCTCCCCCTGAAACATCAAGCATAACCCCTCAGACACCCACACATCCCTATTATACACAATAGCAGTGTTTCAACCCACCCCCACCCCACCAACCCCGATCACGCTTCGGAAATCACTTTGTTCTTAATTCTTAAAAGTTACCGCCTTTCCCTCTTTTCGATTTCATGATCCTCTCGCTGGTCTAGAAACCCCATCACAGCTTGGCCCATCCCTCCCTCCCTCTCATTCCACTACCCGCTGCCTCCACTCGGCTGGCTCTGGCTTTCTTCTTGTCTCTCGTTCACTCTGCCATCTGTGCCCGGGCTTTCAGCCACTGCGGGCCGAACCTTTGGCATTCTCTCCCCCCATCCCTCCACTTTGCCCCCTCCTTCCTCTCTTTTAGATCACGTCAGAAGACTTTACTCTTCGACCGTGTTTATGATTACCTCCTCCCTCCCCTGGCGTCAGGCTCCTGCGCTGTTAGGCGCTCCGAGATGCTGCCTAGTGTGACGGGTGCTATATAAACGCAAGCTGTTTTTTCCCTCTTCCTCCCCCCCCAACCTCTCCCAGTTATTTATAGAGCGACTTTCTTGGGGGGGTAGCTTCTCGGAGCTTTACGAAATGTAGAAGCTACACGACAGCGACTCGCTGACATGAGGATTACCGTACGCCCCGTCTCGCTCTCGCTCCAGGCCTCCTTTAGCTGTGGCTCGGAGCTGGCCCGGGAACCAGGCTTCTCTCTCAGCTTCAGCTCCCCGCCTGACAGTGGAATGTTTGTCTTCTTCTTTATGGAGCCATCTGGTGCGGGGAGGAGAAAAACAAATACACAAACACACACAATAAAACACAACAGGTGTCAAACTAATTATGAACCCAAGGCCGGGAATTCCTCATGATGTTTCTTAGCTTTAGGATAATCGTCTTTAAAACTGAAGGTCTTTTGAGAATTTATTTGGAAGCTTCCCCTACCCCACCCACCACCCCTTCCCCACCGCCAAACAGCACTGCAGGATCTTTAACATCCTGACCTGAATCACTGAACACGAAGCTCACACCAAAATCTATCAACCAGGTGGTCAGCACGTGTGAGTGGGAGCGTGAGCGTGCAGTAAGTGTGAGCCTGAGTGTGAGCGGGCGATGAGTACAAGTGTTAAGGTGCAATGAGCGCGAGTGTACTCTTGAGTGCAAGCCGGAGTGCGAGTGGGCAGTGAGTGCAAGTGTGAGCTGAGCGATGGTGGTCGAACGCAACGCCGCTCACTTTTCTTGGGGTTCGCTGAGCTGCTGTCGTAGCCCCCGAAGGTCTCAGCCCGGCGAGGGAGCCCCGTGGAGCACCCGCTGTCCTCCGCTCTCCAGCTCACCCCCTCCGGCAGAGATGCCACCAGAGTCTGCAAGGTTTCAACTGGAGAAAGGAGTAATCGGTCAGTCAGTCAGTGAGCATCAAGAGCGCAGTCAAAGAGGAAGGTGTTCAGTTGTGATCTAAAAGAGGGGAAGGAGGGGGCCAGGCGGAGGGATTGAGGGAGAGATTTCCAGAGCTTCGGGGCATAGTGGCTGAAAGCACGGCCGCCGATGTTGGGAGCGGAGGGGACGAGCAGGAGGACGGAGCCAGCCGAGCGGGTAGTGGTGTGGGGATATTTCAACCTCTCATTGGATGGACTGAGACCTCCCCCAGCCCCAGTAGCGTCCTGCACTGCAGTGCCAGCCTGGACTGTGAGCTCAGTGTCCCAACGTGGGGCTTGAACCCACACAACTTGGCTACTCAAGAGCCGAGCGAATTACTCACTGAGCCACAGGCTGACAGTAGTGTTAGCATTCAACTCGGGAAGTAATTTACCAGGAGAGAGACGCTCTGTGACAGTAGCAGCAGCAGTTTAGGAAACAATCAATCGCAACCGTTAATGAATTCACGGCCAGCTGCAGTCGTAGCTGTGACTCACTCTCTTTGACAGCGGCGCTCAGGATGGGTTCTCCCTGCTGACATTCCAAAGCGTCCGCCCGGAGCAGCAACCGAGACCGTCCCAGATCCTGGTACCCGTTCAGCTCGGCCATTTCACTGTAAATCTCCAGCTTCTCGTTCAGGCTGGTCTTGATCTGCTCATCCTTTGCATTCAGGCGCTCTGCGAGAGAGAGGGAGAGAGAGAGAGGAGGAAGGATTCAGAGGATGTTAAGCAGGTGCTCTCTCTCTCTCCCAAAGGTGTTGACTGAGTTGGGGAACCACCGGAAGCCTCAGTACTTTAGCCGAGTGGCTGTTTGTCATAGGTCAGCGCAAACAGACAGCCAGCCAGACAGGTATTAAGACTGTGAGGACAATGTTTAATATTCCTCTCCTCACCCGACATCAATCCCCTCCCCACCACACTCTCACACACACACACACACACACACACACAAACACAAAACCCCTGCTCCCAAACAAACAAACAAACTGTCCGACTCAACAACCTTCCTTACACAGGAATCGGTGGTAGGACAACCAGTATGTCTGTGTGTGTGTGTTTGGGGGGGGGGGAAAATAGTCCACTTCAGTTCCAAGTCAGACAAGGTTAATGACTCAGCTAAAAAGAATGATGATCTGGGAGTGAATGAATCGCTGTTTAATACAGAGTGCTGTACTGTGAGGGACCCTCCTCTCTCACCTTGAAACTCTTTTGATTTGGCTGCTCGAAACTCAGTCTGCCGTCTCTCCTCCTCCGGCTCACTGAGAGCGGCCACCTCCTCTAAGGGGTATCTGGGTGGATAGAGGGAGAATGAAGAGGAAGATAAGCAACTGCTGTCAAAATCCATCAGAGGATGGAGTGGGCCAGTCAATCACACTCATCCAGTCACATGCTAACCAGTCAAAGGCACAGCAACTGACCAGGTCTCACCGCCTTTGCGCAAAGCGTCTCGAAGTGCTTTACAAGTAACCGCTGTTAAGTGCAGTGATTTTATTTTATAGAGTGCTCCCGACCAAGCCAAACTGAGAGCTGAACTCACTTGTGAGAGTTTAGTAAGATCGACTTCAGACATCCTCTCTCTCACTCGTTCTCAAATCCCTTCGTGCCCTCACACCTCTCCGCCTACCCGCTTTCCTTACCCACCACTACCCCACCAGCTGTCTCCTATTCGGCCCTCGCCCCCTCCGCTCCACCATCGGCGGCCGTGCCTTTAGTCACTACGCCCCAAAGCTCTGGAACTCTCTCCCTCAACCCCTCCGCCTTGCCCCCTCCCTCCCCGCTTTCAAATCCCGACTAAAAGACCTTCCTTTGTGATCTTGCTTACAGTTCACCTCCCTCTCCCCGGTTTAGCTTCAGATTCCGCCACTGTCAAGTGCTCAGGGCGCTACCTCCACATGAAGCGTGCAAGTTGTTGTTATTGCTTAATTTATGGTGCCCAGGGGTTGGGCTAGGCATTACCTGTCTACTGCTTCCCGGATAATGGCCATCCAGGTATTCCGCTCCTCCTTGGAGTTTGTGTGGATTTCGTACATCTCAGGCCCCTCGTCGGAAGCGCTGATCAGAAACATTCCCTTCTCCTCGTTGGCTACTTTCCGGACGATCAACTTGTACAGCGAGATTCCCGCCGGCTTCTGGTCCTGAAACAGCAACAACAACAGCAGCATTTGATACAGTTTCGCCCACAAAATACAGTCAATTCACTTTACAGTGTATCCTGTGAAGCGCTTAGAGACCTTTCGAAGACGTGATAAGGCGCTATATCAAACACAGGGATTATTATTATCTTTTATTATCAAGAGGACACCTGCAGTTGATACAGCGCCTTATCACATCTTCGAGGCGTCTCAAAGCACTTCACAGAATATACCATAAAGTGAATTGACTGTATATGAGTGCCAGCCTAGACTATACGAGCTCAAAATCCCGATGTGGGGCTTGAACCCATAATCTTCTGACTCAAAGAGGAGATAGGGCTACCACCAAGAAGTGTCGCCACCTAGTGGTTAAACAGTAGATGGCTCCGCACTCACCACTGTAGCGAAGGAGTATTTCTGGTCCTTTTCTTGAAGTAAGACAATGACATCTGATAGAACGAGAGCCAGGATATCTGAGGAATTGATAGGAAATAAGAGGTTAAATAAAACGCCAGCCCTCAGGAACCCTCCGCTTCTTTTCATTTCTCTATTTCCTCAGCGCTATGTTTAACTCGATCGATGACAAGCTGTGCGGTTTTAGCCGGCTACAGACTCCAGCAGTTACCCCCAACGCACACTCTGGGGTCCCTACCCAAGCTCTCGCCAACCTGCGCCTGCCTGAAACTTTCCAGAATTAGGTAAGCAGGAATGCGTCCTTCCAGGGAGGGGGAGAGAGAGAGAGAGAGAGAGAGAAAACGTGCCTATTCTAATCCACATTCCACCTCTGGAATTTCCGTGTATAATAATAATCCTTGCATTTGATACAGCACCTTATCACGTCTTCGAGATGTCTCAAAGCGCTTCATGGAATACACTGTAAAGTGTCGTGAATGGAATATTTTGTGGGCGAAACCCTGCACCCAATTGCACGCAAAAAAGTGTCCCACAAACAGTCGTGGGTTGAAGTGACTAAATTATTATTATTATTTAGAGAGATTATTACCCCCGGAACAGTGTTTCACCAATCGACTAACAACCAGGTTCCTATTTACTGCTGGGTAAATAGAGACGTGCGGAGTAAGGAAACCTGCCCAATGTTTCGCAGACCCAGGTCCTCTCGCTTGAACTACAGGACTTCATGTGCAGACGCTATTGTATCAGGACCGTTTACCTTTGAGGCGCCCGGAGGCTGCTTTCCAGCACACGACGCCCTCGTGCAGGAGGCGGAGTTTGCCTCGCAACATGTCGTGACGCCGGAATATGGTGCCGTTCTTCAGTTTGGTGACGGACTTGATCTCCATCCTCCTCACGATCTCCTTCAGCCGCTGGCTCTTCTCGTACTCGTTCACCATCGTGTCCACGCAGGCCAGAGTCTCCTTTATCCTGCATAGCGCCAGCGTCAGCTCCGTGTGCTCCTCCGAGCCAGCTGTCCAGAGAGAGAGAGAGAAAAGAGAGGGAGTGAGACAGTGGGAGAGAGGAGAGAGAGTATGACATAGGGAGGAGGAGGGAGAGAAAGAGTGAGAGGGAGACAGAGGGGCAAAGAGAGAGAGAAAAAAAGACAGAGTGAGTGAGTGTGAGATAGAGGGGGAAAGAGTGAGAGAGGGAGGTTGGGGGAGAGGAGAGAGAGTGTGACACAGGAGAAAGAGAGGCAGACAGAGGGAGCGTGGGGTGGTGGGGGGGGTGTGTGGAGAGAGGAGAGGGAGGGGAAAAGAGAGTGAGAAAGAGGGGAGGTGGAAAAGAGAGCTTGCACCCGCAATCTTCTGATGCAGAGACAAGAGAGAGCAACAGACTGAGCCTGGCTGACAACAATATCGGGTTAGAGCAACCTCTTTAAGTGGGGCACGGTTGTGTGTGTTGGTGATGGCTGGGGTGTGCCAGGGGAGAGGGGGGTGGGGGAAGGGGAGAGGTACCTGTCGTGTTCAGGATGATACGCTCCACCAGGACGGGGTATTTGGTGATGCGCTGGGTGACCAGCAGCACACATTCCTGTACCCCCAGCCTCCGCACCACCGGGCAGTTACTCAGCTTCTGCAAACAGAAGTAACAACACGTTAGGATTAGTTCAGGGCCTTTCACGTCAGGATGACGACACCAGGACGGGAAAATAAGAACAACGGCACAGCACCTGCCCGGTTCAAAACATCTCCAATTCACAGCGAATTGCTGCAAGGTATGTCTATTTGTATTTATAGGCAAACAAGGCAACCAGTCCTTGAACCGGACAAGCGATTTATCCCTGGGATAGGGGGAAACTATTGACCAGGGCACCAGGGAAAAACTCCCTTCTCTTGTCCTACAGCGTAGCGGGATCTTTTAACAGACAGATAGCAACCAGAGTTGCCTGAAAGGGGATGGAGGGAGCCCTCAGCAGGTTAGGAATGTTATGCTGGAGTTCATCCTCTTCCTCCACACCCCAGGGTAACCTCAGTTATTCAGCCACAGTCGGCGTGTCTTCCCCCTTATTAGCCCTCCTCTCTCCACCATCACGTGCCTTTATGAGGGACTGGAANTTTTTGTTGCTCTGGAACTGCTCTTTGTAGTAGTTGGTGGCCTCGTTGTGGCGGCTGCAGAAGGTTCCATACTTGTCCCTCATTCTCTCGCCGCGCTCCCCTGAAAACTGAGAGCACACCAGCTATCAGCACAATGACCCTCGCGATCAATAAGGGTTGTCGTGCTGATTGCTGCACACGTACACAGGCACGCACATCCACATGGACCCACAGACCCACACGCAGACACACACGCAGACACACACACGGACACGCAGACACACACACGGACACGCAGACGGACACACCCAACCCAGACACAGACAGACATGACCTCTTCGTACCTGCTGCACCAGAAGGTCACCAATCCTGTGGATCAGGTAATTCCGGTCGCTCCCGTCTTCCAAGGAATCCCTGCGGCGCTCCCTGAGCTGGGAGAAGAACTCACTGTGGATTTTCAGGAGGTCGTCCAGACACGGGAAGATCCTGTCCACGTCCACCTGCAGCTCCTCCCGCAGCCCACGGCTGTACACCCCCACCATGATCTTCAGTGTCCTGATGTGGTGCATCTCCGTCTGCATCAGTTCTGCAATAACACAGAGACTCGGGCTCACAACCACAGACACCTCAACAGTCCCGCACACTGGGAACCAGTGTGGATATAATATTAAATTAATAATAATAATCTTTTTGATATAGCGCCTCATCACGTCTTCGAGACGTCCCAAAGCACTTCATAGGAATATACTATAAAGTGGTGACTGTATAATTTGCGGGTGAATACAGCAGCAAATAACCCACAACCAGTCATAATTGAGTGGTTTTTTTTTGGGGGGATGGGGGAGGAAGGGATTATTACCCCCGGAAAGAGATCCGCCATTCGACTAACAACTGGGTTCCTACTTACTGCTGGGTAAACAGAGGGGGTGTGTGTGGAGTAATGAAACTTGCCTAAGGTTTTGCAAACATGGAAGCGGTGTACATAGAAAGGTCATCAAGCAAACTGGTTGCAGCGTGAAGCAAAAAATGGTCAACTCCTGCGGGAGCCCCATCGTCAAGCCCACGAGGGAAGGATATTCCTTACCGTAAATAACGTCCTGCCGTTTGGTGGTTTCTTTGCTCTGGGTCTTGGCGTAGGCCGACTCCACAGCTAAGCTCCAGGACTCTGCCTCCATGTCCTGCCCGTCTGCCTCCAGCTCCCTCTTCAAAGGGGCAAACACCATGTCTGATCACAAGGCAGGGAGAGAAACAGCGTCAGTTTCAATTATTTCTCTTCTCCTCCCCTCTGCCCCCTCCCCAAGCACTGACCGAGCAGGTCAGGCTTTCACCCTATCTCCACGCCAATTTTTCCACCCTCGCGCCCCAATTTTGTCACAACAAAAATGACATTTGTATCGCACCTTTCTCGTCAGGAGGACGTCCCAAGGCGCTGAACAGTCAGGGATCTGCACCCGAGCCAGTGGTTGGGATCGGGGGGGGTGGAAGGCGGGGAGGGTAGGGGTAGGAGGGTGACAGAAGCCACGGTCGAAGAGGAGGGTATTGAGATGGATCTTGAAGGAGGCAAGGGAGGAGGCGAGGTGGAGGGAATGTGCGATGGAGTTCCAGAGGGTGGGCGGGGGGGGGCAGAGAGGCTGAAGGCCCGACCGCCAATGGTGGGTTCGACAACGGTTCGATTCTTAAACCCACGGCAGTAGTTTCGGCTGAGTTACTAGTTCAGGCCTTAAGAGTTCTCGGCAGCAACTCACCTTCCACGACGAGAGACTCCACAGATGGTTCCCGGGCTCCCAATGAGTCCTCGGGCCAGGGTTTGCTCCTCGGGACCCCATTCTCCACCTCCTGCTCCATCTCGGCCAGTGTCAGTCTGTGTCAGGGAACACACCGTGGATTAGCGAAGGGCGGAAAAGAGGGTCAGGAATGTTGAGGAGGGGTTAGAATACGGGTTGGGGGCGGAGGTGGGGGAGAAGGAGCAAAGGGTTCTGTGGACGAGAACGTGCGCAGGAACGCTGGGGTAGGAGGGTGACCGAAGGCACGGTCGAAGAGGAGGATCTTGAAACAGGCTCGAGGGGCTGAATGGCCCACCCCTGTTGCTACGTAGACTGTGAGCTCGTACCCGGAGACGCTGCTAGTGCTGCTCAGGGCTGGTTGGGAAGCTCCTCCGGGCAGGATTGTCATTCCGAGGCTCCGTACGGCTCCTGTGTTGCCGTCCGAGGACGGGTGGGCACTCCTCTGTGACTCCCTCAGAAAGGCTGGGATAGAGGGCACAGGATTAGCAGCTACTCTCTGCCTCACAGGTCTCTCTCTCCGCACGCACAGTATGTGTGTGTATGTGTAATAATAATCCTTACATTTGATATAGCGACTTATCACGTCTTCGAGACGTCTCAAAGCGCTTCACAGCGTGCGAGTGTTGTGTGCGCGAGTGCTTTGTGTGAGTCTCCACTCCCGGAGTCCGCATTTTCTCTTCCCCCACCCAAACCCAGGGATCTGTGGCCGCTATCTTTCCCCCCCCACCCCCTTCCCCTCCACCCTGGAGTCCACACGACACTAATAGGAAATCCTGCAACCCTTGCGATGATTCAACGCGCTGGAGGCAATGGAGCTGTGCTTACCGCTGGGGGGCCGCTGAGAGCTCGGGGAAGTCACTGGGTGCTTCTGTGGCAAAATGAGCAATAAACCGTTACACATTAACAGCAGCAGATTTGATCCTGAACACATAGGCTCGCGCGCACGCATACGGGCACACACACAGGCGCGCGCACGCGCACAGACAACAACAGCGTCTTTCACATCAGGAGGATGTCCCCCACAGGCACACAGACGGACAGACACAGGCAGACAGACACAGACAGACAGATGCACTAACCTTGTTCCTGCCAGGGCATTCAGTGAGCAGAGTCCTGCAATTTTTATGCACATTGACTGCACAATCTGCAAAGATACACCACACAGCCTTTTAGTGCAACCCGTCCTTCTCAACAAGATCCGCCCCAAACAGAATGGGCGTGAGGGGGAGGGGGAGGTGGAGGGGGGGGGAAGAGACGGGAGGAGCAAAGGCAATGGGGTCAGATGGTCTTTCCAAACGCAGATCAGAGGTCAAAACGACACAAAGCTACTAAATCCAGAGAGTTTCAAACAAACTAGGGATAAGCCACATCAAGAGTTATTTCTTCCAAAAACATGTTCGGGGGGTGGGGGAAAGGCTTTTTAACAGCCCCAGGGGTCACTTCCAGCTCGCAGGCCACAGTTCGCCCCCCCCTCTGGCTTATATGTTATAGTTGCTGTATTAAATGCAGTGATTTTGTTTAAAAAAAATCAGGGGCTGAAGTCCTGGTGGTACACCGCACCCAGGCTCGGAGATATGAGCCTGATACAGTGAGCTGGGCTGACACGAACTGTACTTACGAGGTTTAAGAGAAGGGAGGGGTGGTGGGAGGGATGGGAATGGAAGGAAAATGACCACAGTTACAAAGAATATTTAGAGCCTATTTAAGGTCACTCAATGTACAGCCGTCACTGAGAAAAAAAAAGTTACAGCTCGTAAAATTGCGGCTGGAAATAGCTTGAATTAATTCGAGGGCTGCCGAGTACTGGATGGCACCAGAAAAGAAACACAATAAAACTGGATGCGCAAATATTTGCCTTCGACAGTCACCATCATAACCTGATTCAATTCGCACACTTACTCACTCACTCCCACACACTCATAATAGCTGTTAATCTGCCGCCCCCACCCTTCCACCTCCCAGGATCGAAAGACTGAAAATTAACGGTGAACGGGTTGGTGGCAAAATACTTTTGCGTGGGTAAACTGAACTTTGGCTTCTACAGGCAGGGCGTTCTCCTGTTAAATACCTCCGAGCTTTGCTCAGAGGGTTTCCACGACACCAAACTCAAGCTGGTTTCAACAACTTCAACAACAATTTGCATTTATGTAGCGCACTTTACGCGGGGCAATGTCCCGGACCCCTGGGGAGAAGGATTCCAACCCCCACCCCCCTTTCTCTTTCGTTGTTCCGCTGATCACCGTCCCAAGTTATTCACACGCGCGCGAGGATGGAGAACTCGCTTCTTCCTCAAAATTCCCAGGAACTTTTTAAATTTACATTAAAAACCACAGCAACATCATGGCAGACAACGCAAGTCCCAACTTTTGCATATAATAATAATCCTTGCATTTGATATAGCGCTTTTCACGTCTTCTAGACGTCTCAAAGCACTATTATCAGGTGTGTGGAGTAAGGAAACTTGCCCAAGGTTTCGCCCTGCTGGAAATCGAACCCAGGTCTCTCGCTTGCAAAGCGAGTGCTCTAACCACTGAGCTGCAGGACTCCACATACGCCAAAAAAGCCAAATTTTGTTTTTAAAAATTAAATTCACATGAAAGCAATATTTCTCTATTAACTTTCACTGAAACAAACATATTTATTGGCGAAAATCTGTAAAATGGTCCTTTAACCCTAACTCAGTTCTGTTGGTTTTTCACTTGCTCCCAGGACGCTTTCATTAATTAGAATTTATTAATTATAATAATAAATCATTATAGATAGAATTATACATTATCTGAAAGCTACTGTTTCCATTACTTTGTGTGCCTTGATAAAAATGCAGCTTAAACAAAAATTGTATATTGTTATATTCAAATCAACATGTTTATATATGTAACTGAATTATATTTTCATTATCAATATAATTGTTTAATGATATAGTAAACACGATATACACTTAACAATATGACACAGATCTGACACCCGCTGCATCAAAAAGATTTCAAAGCATTTGACAGGCAACTAGAATTAAGTATAATGACCGTATATATATATTTTGTAGGCGAACACGACAGCCAATTTGAGCACAGCAACGACCCACAAACAGCCATGAATTGAGCAATTTTATCGGCCGGTAGAAATTCCCACCTCTTTTCAAATAGCGCCACAGGTTCATTAACCTTCTCCACCTGAACAGGCGGACGGGACTTTGTCTGTTTAACGCGTCACTGGAAAGAACGGCATCTCAAGACAATGCAGCCTCTCGCCAGATTGTAAGCCTAGGCTGTGAGCTTACTTAAAGTCCCAAAGACCTTGTGGCCCGTAGGCAAAGGGTGTTACTAACTGAGCCTTGCTAACATCTTCGCCCTGGAAACGTCAAGACTCCCAATCCCTGCGGCTAATTCCGACCCGGATTACATGCGAGCTCTTTATCCGGGCTCCATGTGGCCAGCACTGAACAGACGCTGGTGACGTTTCCCTTTGCGCTGTGTATTGTTCTCAGTCTGTAACCAGGCTGGGACTGCAGACGCATCTCCCGCCGGGGGTGCCAGCCTGGAGAAGTTGATTTAAATTAAGGATCAAGAGACCAGCACGTGATGGCACGTCTGTGTTTGGGACCTGCAGCTTCTCTCTGGACGGAGAGGAAGGGGACTGTACTCACCTGTCGGATCACTGTTTACACCACTGCAGCTGAGAGACGCCTGGAGTGGAACAGAACGGCCAGAGGAGGAGAAAGGAAGAAAGGAGGAGGGGGGGGAAGAGAGGGAAGGGGGCACAGAGCACATCGCTTGCAAGCGGCCGATTACAAACTGGCTGCAATCTCCCCAGATTCAAGGGGGACTCGTTTGGGTTGTGTGTATACGGTTGGGGGGCATTGTGCTCGTTACTTTAACACTGCAGCAAAACATCACAGAATCACAAACATTTGTAACCAGCAAATCCCAGATGGGTCCGTTTGACCCTCTGTAACGAACACCAATCTCAGGCCAGACTCCAGTTAATTCAGTGCTTATACGGCATTCCCAAGGGACTCGCCGGTTCCCGAATCCCGATGCGATTGATTCCCGCAACCTAGACACCACGGCTAGGCTGGCGAGTGAACTTACGTCTGAATGAGTTCCAGCATGTAATGAAAGAAATTCAGGAAATTGCAGGGCAAGGAACCATTTGCCGCCTGTAGGCAACTAGTCACAAGATTCAGTCCATTACCCAGAAATGTGTCCCTCCTCCTACCCTGAAGCCTGAGTAAACTGTGGGGAACGGCGCAGATATATTACTGGGAAAATTACCGACAGAGAATGCTGAAGTGACCCCAATTACGATGCTCGTTTCCCTTGAGAAATGCGAGTCCTGCAAACCATTCCCCTCCCACCACCTCATAACAATTCCCATGCAAAGAGGTCAGTGATTGAGGCTAGGTTTAATGGGCAGGATTGATTGATGGATGGGGTCTGGACAGAGACACAGGCGCAGTGAGAAAGGTCAAAATCTTTCAGCAGTCCTTCACGATCCTGTATTTATGAGATAAACACATAAAAGATCTCGGCGCTGAATTGATGCAAAACATCCCTCAGCTCCTGAAATTTCAGTCAAACTCACTGCAAGCATTGATCCTACAGAGCTTACAAATAAAAACTGTAAATCTAAAAAATAAATTGTATCTGACAGCACATCAAACTGCCTCAGAGTTACGTGAACTCTGTGCTTTCCATCCTCTTAACGAGTTACGACAACTTGCATTTATAAAGCGTTCCACATGCAGGGTAGCATCCCGGAGCACTTCAGTTACTTTAAAGTGTAGTGATTGTTAAGGAGTCTACAGCGGCTGATTGGCACCAGCAAAGCCTACCCCATCCCCCTACACCCACAGAGAAACATAAGCTCACAGACAAATTAAACATCGATTCTGCACGCTTCTGCTTGCAGCCGCAGTCCACAAATGAAGTCAACTTCGATAATACTGTGGTGGAGCAGAAAGGCAGCATTAGCGTTAATGGGGACGCTCATTGAATGAGGCAGTTGGCCTCAGTGTCAGTGCCATTGCACAATTTTGATCTGCACAATTTAGCTGCAAGTCAATTGCCGATCTCCCTTGTGGAACTGAAGCTGCTCCGAGCCAACGTCCAGTCGCATGTCGTTTATATTACGTCTTTCATTTGATGCAGCATCTCAACACTCTCGCGCGCCCTGGGGAGTCAGAAGGTTGTGGGTTCAAGCCTCTCGTCGGGACTTCAGACTCACAGTCTAGGCTGACACGCCAGTGTGGTGCTGCATTGTTGCAGGCACCGTCCTTCAGGTTAGACTTAAGTTAAACCAAGGTCCTGGCTGCAGGTGGACATTAAATTCTCCAAATAAAGGTACTGGCCTCTCGGGTATGTGAGAAGCCCCCAGGCCGTGTCTGTAAAGGGGTAAGGAGGCTGCATCACTGACCGCTTGCTGGGCCCTCAAAACATTTCCGCATAAATCCAGACGCGGGTGTGAAGGGCCTTGTCTGGGCATGTCCAACACAGATATTTTAGAGGAAGAAAGAGAGCGAGAGAGAGAGACACACACACACGTGTATATACATATATGTATATACATATAGCCTCTGGGTCAGAAGGTTGTGAATTTAAGTCACACTTCAGGCCTTGAAGCATATGGTTTAGGCAGAGGCTCCAGAGCAATCCCAGAGTTTGAGAGAGACACACACACACACACACACACACACACACACACAGAGCGAGCGAGAGCGCGCAAGGGTTCCACACCTCCACTAGTCCGGCTGAGATCAGCAGACTCTGGACTGGCTGGGTTTTGCACCAGAGACCTACGTGGCTCAGTTACTAACAGGATAAACTCAGCGAGCGAGCCAGCCAGAGGGAGGGATGGGAAACCTTTTTCTTTCCTCTCTCAGTGTTCAGGTGAGCCACACATCAGTGAGAGAGAGAGAGAGAGAGAGAGAGAGAGAGGGGTCGAAGAGACACAGACACACCCGAATAAAGAAAGATAAGTCTCTTTCCTCAGTTACTCAGTCTCATCTGAATAGCAACTCGAGCAATAATTCCCCCCCTTCCACCTTCTAACTATATTCTTCCTTACGACCTCTAACCCCCTCCCAAACCTTGACTAGTGTCCCTCCAACTCCGACCTGTAAACCCCGCACCCCCTCCCCCGTTCTCC